TTGGTGTCAATGTTCCATTCGGGCCAGCTTGGTTCTTTCAATGGTTGCGTTCAAGGAGACCAGGTGAACTGTTCTTGAGAGTGCTCAGCCCACCACTCAAGACGGCAATTGAGGGAGTGGATTGCTGTTCCGTCTTTTTCGCACACTGTCTCACTGACACCTGTCTCCTTTTGACTCGCTGATCGGATCGGTTGAAACAGGGCGCAGCTGTTGCCTGCAGCGAAGGCCTTCTCCATCTACTGGGCCTTCGAAATCCACCGGCGTTCTGTCATTCTTTAAACTCCTGATTATCCGGCGTTTGAGGAATCTGCGTGCACCAGCATAGTCGCTTGTTGCTGGTATGGCCTTTCTGGCAGCAATAAGATCTACTAATCTCGAGGATATCCAGTGTTCATTGAGTCGCATCAGATGAATTGGATAAACAGTTCTGAATGCTGACAGCATTGCTTCTTTAACCCGCCTCCATTCACCCTCCGAACAATCTTCGTCGCCCACATGACTGTGCATTTCTAGTGGCTTTCTAGCCAGATCAGCTCGATACTCTTCAGCTACTGAACCTTGTCGAAGTTAATGAACGCAGCCGCTCTTTCGGCACGCGTAATGCTGGCGGAAAGCGAAGTGCTAAGCTGGCCCGCACGATGGCATGATCAGGGTCAAGTTGCGTACCCCAGAAGGAATAACAATCATTAACTGAGGGTCTTCATCCGTAACTGATAGCCGTATGGTCCAATTGAGTCCAAGACTGTCTTGTGATAGATGGCCTCCAAGTAACTCGGTGTGTTTGTGTTGGAAGTTCGTACTGGCCAGAAACAGATGATGGTTTGCACACAACTGAAGAAGCCGCTCTCCATTATAAGTACGTTCAGCATCGACTCCAAATTGACCACCTAACTGTGCCTCTTCCGGACTTGGTTGTCCAACTTGGGCATTCATATCACCCACCAGGATTACTATATCCGTCCTCCTTGCCGACCGAAGCAGTCAAGACAGATCTTGATAAAACTCGTTCTCAGTTTCACAGCTGATATCTGTTTGGGGGTGTATGCTGATACGACAAACAAACGCACCGCTTACCGCATCGACCCGCGTTAATTGTAATTGAGCCAGACAACCGCACAGCGCAAATGCGACTGTTTACCGGGATCCAGTCCAGTAGGGCACTGAGTGCAACCCTCACACCGTAGCTACCACGGGCCATTGCGTGAGTATCACCAGATACCCGAAAAGTGAAATGTGGAACATCTGGGCTCGTCCTAAGCGGCTTGAGGAGCACGACTGAAGTGCGGTCTTGTATGTTTGTTTCGGAGACGCAACATACACCGAACGCAAGGCTTCAACAAGGGATGCCTGTTGCCCAAGTTGAGGTAGAGTTCGGAGATTGAAGACTGCAACGTGGATCAGATCTTTTGAGGTTAGTAGGTGACTACTTTGGTTAATTTCTGGGCGATGGTTGAGACACGGATTAGTGGCTAGGGGGTTGGCAGATGGGTTGATTGCACTGCATTGTACGTTGGGTTGGAAGGGGATGAGGAGGAAGGCCGGTTAGCGAAGAGCTGCAAGGGCAAATGATACTTCCCGGTTGCCCAGGCTGAAGAAGGGGGTTTAGTCGAGGTACCCGGCCTTCAACTTTTGACTCAAAAGTCTGACCCACAAGACAGTGGGAGGATGTAGGTTTTGCTCGGGAACCCTGCTGCTAGCCTCTGACTTAAGAGACTGGACCGCAAGACAGCGGTTGTTAGGTTTTTTTCGGGGGACCCTTCCCGAAGCCAATGACTCGACAGTCTGACTTACATGGCTGTAGGGGGCCGGCCTGGTCTGATGGGGCAGGGAGTAGGGCATTACTGTCTCACTCCTGATGTGGCTGCACACAGCAGGTGCCTTTTGAGCAGCACCGGGAACTTTGGTTTTAAAAGTATTTCGACCGTAATGAATAATGCGTTGGCGGTCACGGCCAATCGTTGGGCGATCGATGTGTGCGGTTTTTGGGGCCTACTTCGAGGGAATGGCAGCATCGCTGCTTCCATAAAAATGTACATGCTGATCGCCCGAGGGGAAGGCTTTACTGCCTTCACACTCCTGTTGCAGAAGACAGTACGATTTTACCTCCAGACGACCTCGTAATGCGAGTACTGGCAGTATGGGACTCACTGTTCTTCTTCAAGCCGCTCTCCATTGGCCTTCCTGGCATGAAGTTGCAGACAATGTAGCCTACGGGATCATTGCAATCCTCAAGCCCGACCATCACGTCAAGGTGGCAGCTTTGAGTCTCGAACCCGCGACCTCTTGTATAGTAGTTTGGACACTTAATCATTCGGTCACGAGCGGCTGATCAGCAGTGTGATTAACTCGCACTTAGAATATAGCACAGCTCATTCTCCAATTACGGGATGCACATCATGTGGTCACACTTGTTGACTGGCTCATCGAGCAACGACTTTTTAGATGAAAGTTTCCCTCGTACGACTCAACTTTAATTGAATACTGGCGGCAACTATGGGAATGAGGCCGCAGTGTTCCACAGATCATTGAATCGCTTTACAACTAATGATACACCACTATCTATATGAACATCGTTTCCTACCCTTGAAACCAGACATCACATACCACTATATACATGCAGTTAGAAACAAAATGTCTTTCAGAAATTGGTTGTCCTCAAAAACACTTATCCGAGTGGTTCTCCCTTAAGTTATTTGGCTCACACACCACCGTTTACTTGATGGCGTCCAGTGAGCTTCGGCTGGTGCAGCCATTGGTAGCTTCCCTGTACACAATTCAAAAGTGGGTAAATAGTGGGACATCCATCCGACTGCTACTGTAGGTGACTGAAGCACTCTAAATTCGAAAGTCTGTCGTCCACGCTTGGAGATGCATCTTACCCTAATCAGGTGAGATGATACTACTCAACAGTTCTTAAACCGGCCAACGCCCGTGCATATTCGGTCTGTGACAAATGGTTGGAGTGGGGCTAAATATGTTATCGTATGAAGGCATTTGATGCCGATGTACAACCAAATGAGATCTGGAGGTAAACATGCAGGGTATGATGTTGGCGCGCAGTTGCCATAATGATGTGTGCATCGGCACCACTCCATCAACATCCATTCTTTCTATTCGCAATGGTGTTCCGTAGGTGGTATCAACCTGTGTGCATGTTGGAAGGGTGATATGTCAACTACTCGAATGCGTCATCGCTGTTCTACGTTACTCAATTAAGCAAAGTAACTAGATGCACAGCAGTTACGGTATCTGTGATCCAAGGGTGTTCGACAAGACCCCGAAATGGTATACTGACCTTCGCAAGTTGTAAGTTAACTTCACCAACAGTGTTGGGTCCGTGGACAATGTGCTGCAAAAGTGGTAGGACTATGTACATACCATCCGCTATCCCCGGTGGATAGTGAGGAAGGGGAAATGATTTGAGAGCACCTGTACCAAGTAAAAGATGAAGTACCTCCGAGAAGGACGTACTTGGCTGACCTAAGGGCCACTTGTGGGCTTGATATAATCCTTCGACACGGTTACTGTGGGTCGACCTGGGCAGTTTACTTGTCAGGATAAATTTGTCAGTTTCTCTAGCTGACGTGATATTCTACGTTTGGACCTCAGCAACGGTTCGCTACCCCGATACGTCACTGTCAGCATAATGCTGCACAAGTGTGTTGCCCATAAGCTAATCCTCTCTAACAAACGCTATTTTTGCATTCTGAAGCAGAAATTACGGTGCCTCCCAGGAAAAATCTTTGGAATATGAGCTTTCGAAAGAAGAGTGCCTCCAGAAGGGTGATACCTTTCTATAGAGTGCGAAATGGATCGAGCTCATTTTTGCTTTACGAGAGACGGATTGCCTTCCAAAACTGGTGTTTTCAAGGGAAGAGCCTTCGGGATAGCAGGATAGTTAAACTAGACGGTCTCAAACGAGGTTTCTGTGTGGACAGGGAGGTGCGGTGGAATCATTAAACCTTAGGAGTGGGGGGCTATTGCAGCAGGGAATTTACGCAAGCTGTTCCAGCTGAGCCGCAAAACAGTATCCGTTAATGAGCTCATGGGAGACGTTGCTAGGCTAGTAAATGGTGCCAACAGCGTCTGAATGGATGGGCTGGACATAATAAGCAGTGTACTCAGCCATTATCTTCTATACCACCGTTTGCTCAGTCCCAGCAATGGTCTGCGAGTTAAGATGATGGTCACTTGATGAAACACCATCGGGATTGTTGGACCAGATGAGCTTCCATCAGTGCTGGCTTGGCCACGTGCTGTGTATGCCAGTCGACCGATTTCCTCGAAGGGCTCTTGTCTCACAACCACGTCAAATGTGGAAACGAGCCAGAGGCGGTCGAACAATGACTTGCAAGCCGGGTATAACGGCTATTACCAGAAAACTCAACTGCGCTAATCATTGCCATCTTCCTCGACGGGGACCCACAGAAGTGTCACATCAATGATTAGACATTGTTAGACATGAACCAGTTGCGCCCTCAATGGCGCTGATGCATCCAAGCTATTTCCTTCAATCCATAGCTCTCTACCAACCCCCTACATAACAGTCCACTGACAGTGCTGTATTTACGCATCAATTTGCCACATCCCGCCTCCAATGCGCAGCTATCAGACCCACCTCCCCAAATCATCGGTGAGTGAAACTGTGGCAGCTACGACAAGTACTCGATCATTACAGCTGACAGTGATGATGACCTAAAGTCGGTGACGTGCCTGTGTTTTGCTTTAACTAGATCGTCCCAGATTGTTTAGGAACAACAACGTGCCACAGCTCAACCATAAGGGAACCTTTGGACACAATACCAGGCAAGAAACCAAACATACCAGAACAGAAAAGACAAACAGGCCGATGCATGTTTACCAAAGACTAAACAGGAATTCAATCTAAGGCTTCCACAGACGCATTGGGCGGTTAACTTGTAGAGTGTAAAAGTCACGTCAAGTGGAACCAATGGCGTACACCAACGGAGACTGTCAAGTTATGAAAGTTAAATGCTCACCTTACTAAGACAGAAGTGACTTTGATGACCAGACTGATCATCCTCCGGCGCTGTGCTTTCAGAAAATTCATGGACGTCTGGCAATTCCCAGGTAGATCGGTTGTCAGACAGTGTAGATCGTTGTCTGGAATGACTGTCCTTCCGAGATTTACTCCTATGTATACGAAGTGGAGCTCCCTCATATGATGCTGCCGTTAAGCTAGAAACACTCTCCGTCAGAGTAACATGCTCTAGGTTGAACTTTTTTCGTCGGCCACGCTTGCCTTGAGAAAATACAGGTGGGCCAGTAACATCACCGTCCGTAACTCTGTGTAATTTCCGCAATTTCACTGTCGGCGAATGAGATTCTGTCACGGAAGAATGTGTAAGGACGACAGAACGCCGTTTATTACGCGTCTTTTTTGATGAATCCGCAGTGTCGTACAGGAAACGTTTCTTAATATACTCGGAAGTGTTGATCCGTCTTCTCCTATTTTCGGGGCTAACTCCAGAGCTCTCAGAGACCACCGGAGTAATCGGTGCTGGGTCACGTGTTGACCGTGCGACCCGTTTCAAGTCGACAGGCTTTGGAGTTCGTTTAGAGCGAATGCTGGAGCTGAAGAAAAGAATAAATTTCCCGAGCGAAACTCACCCCGGGTCGCGAAGACCGGTCTGACGTGAACCACGAGCAAGAGGTCTATTCGGTACACAGTGACACAAACATAAAGGCCTTATTACCTGACATTGTGGGGGCGCTTTTGTGGTTTAGTTGCGGAGGAAATCGATTTCCTGGGGTTTACTTTGCGAGATAATCTGGAATAAATTATTATATTGTACTAAACAACCCACCTCAGATCACTACGCTTCGTCTTCATTATGCTTATCTTATGAAAAACACAATTGGAAGGGCAAAGGGGTGCTAGTCAAACATCAACTGTTTCCACTATGCAGGAGCATCGACGCAAAAGGAGCGGAGACCCATCAGGCTCGGCCAACGCTCCGCACGCTGTAAGGAGCAACGCCATGCAGTAAAAATTAAACGCTCATTGGTCGAAGGCCCCGAGAGCAAAACAGGTTCAAGAGCGCCTCTGACACGGTGCCCGAGAATAAAATGACATTTTAGGAAGGTTTGCATGCGCACCTCAGCTAGAGCACGAACATCCAACTTCAGAAGGGTCACTGAAACACAAATGACAGGAAATTAACCAAATAGTGAAGGATACAGGCTTTGCACAAGACTTGTTCACCGGCTCATTAATGCGACCGGTACACGAACGAATACATAAGTATGGAGCAAGCTGTTTACTTTGCGATTAAACCACTCCCTTCTTTTGGATAATATTGTTCAACTGTAAACAGTTAGGACTCAGTTGTGTTATCCTAGATTAGGAAGTTTGTGTTGGTTATTTTGACACCGCAATTATGCTCGTAAAGCTCAACATCTGCTTACCATGACAAACACCAGGTATCACGGGTCGATGCTATTACCACAACCTCGTAAACAATTTATCGTTAGTTCGTCCCATACAAATTGGACCTGCACGATAAACACCTCATTTTTGCTTGTATAGTTATCCATTGTCGCTGAATGGTGCTTTAGTTATCACTGATTTGTGTCAGAAACACTCTCATCACATGCATGTAAAGACCGTGTAAGTCACCGGGGATTATACTTTTAAAAAACGTAACACTTTAGGCAAAGACGGAGTACGACTGGAACAAACACTTGAAAACACTGTTGCAGTGCACATAATTCAAAGTAAGGTAATATTTGTAATTAAAATCCCTCATAGCCTTTCACTAGCTCCTCATAGATCAATAAAACGAAAAATCGAAAATTTGTGGTAATAGTGATATTCGGTATCACGTATCATTCTCGCGAAATACTGAACAACCGCGCTGACTAGACGGCATCAGTATCAACCAATCAGGAGATGAGCATTGCCGAAAACACAAACCCTTCCATGACTTCGCGCTCAATAAATCAAATGAACAATCCTGAGTTTCTACATAGTAAAACAAGTTTGTGAGAGCTCCAAATCGCCCGGCACCGTTTGAGACGTCATTATCCTTGGTCCTCCACACTTCACTTCATCCAGTTACACTTTGGGTGCGGTCGAGAATAAGTTCCGAGGGTTTGGGTTTTGATGCTTTGTGCTTTCGGGGCCAATCTCAAACTAATTTCACCGAAGGAATAGCGTCTCTGATGTCAAGTTTTATAATCGTTATATCTCTTCCGAGTTTGCGTAGGATAGGCGTATTGTTGACAGAAGTTCACTTTACTTGAAGCATTTTTTAGGGAGATATTTCGTTCATCTTAGCTTCTGCAACTTTCAGCATTCTGTAGACGGAGATGCGGAAATGCGGAAAAGTAGTCTCGTACACGGTACCGCCGATTGTCAACTAAATGAGCGATTGGAAACGCAGCTTAAATTACACAGCTGCATACAGGTTTCCAGGCCGGCGGCTAGACGCACAATGTATTTCAGTTCGACCAATCTCACAAACCATGAACACGTTTTTAGCGTACTACTATTGGCGAAACCTTCCCAAGATGTGACTTACGCCTGAACAAGTGTGCGTATCAATTTTAAGCCTGTTGTAGTTCCTTAGGACGGACTATCTTGGTGAGCGCTTACTCTATCACAGTGAATAAACATTACGGCGCTGAGGCATCTTCGCTTTCCTCCCGAATAATGGTTAACTGGAATAATCAACTTCGACGTATCCTGGGGAAACATGCTTTTTCGCGCTTTACGGTTGCTATGTGACGAAATATAAGAATCAGTGCACACGGATGCACGAGAAAGTCACTGAACCAGCTAAACCTTTTGATGACATTACATTGTGGTAACTTTGTTTGTGAAAAATTCTGTCAGTATATCAAAACAAAGTCGCAAGTCACGAAAAATACTGAATGCAGCGGGTAAAAGTTTATTGGTGCCGTTGCTTGTCGGCAAATGTACGGGCTGGGGGCAATTTTGAGGTTTGCGGAATCGACGAACTTACCCCATACTGCACAGATATCCACCAATTTTCGCACTGTGATAACGTTCACACAAGGTGGGCTACCTGAACATTACGATTTATTAGCTTCTTTTATTTACTGAACAACTATAAAGACCATCGATGCAGTAACCTAGCTAGCGCATCGCAACACGCTAGTCGGATCTAAAAACATGAGAAAACCTGGGGTAACCAATTTCACGACCAAAATCCTTCAGATTTTTTCACACGCCCTTTATCTAGCATGTCGTAGCCAGTTATAGATCATTCAAAATGATATTTCGACATGCGATGTCCCCAAATATTTGCTTTATAAAAATGGAACTTCTCGTTCCATTTGGTCATTTGGTGCATCTAATACGCTCTCAGTGATACACCGTCTAGCCGATTCCGGAACAAACAGCACAGAGGAAAAAACGCTCATGTGTTCGGGCGTCGCAAAATGTACTAGTTTTGTTGGATATAAATGGTCGCGGTATCGGGCAAAACAACATGTGATTGACAGCAATCATCTCCGAAAAATCAATTTATTGCGCGGGAATCTTTCCCACCTACCCACTTAATGATAAATCCGGGATCCTTATGGTGAAAATAGAACTTCCGTTCTTGTGGGTTCTTTTGAGATGAGTTGAAATTGCGTTCTTTTTTGGACAACTGATGATGAGCTTTAGCACTTACATACAATAATACCATCAGGGGTTTAACTGCCCACGGGCCATTGAGCTCGCTTTAACCCGTTCTTCCCGACCTTTGTGATGGCGCTCAATGAACAAATGAGGGGTTGCAATTGTTTGCGCATCAAACTAAAATGAGACTAGCGCTCTTTTGCGTTATGAAGGATCTCACTATATATGCAGTAGTGGGCCAGTGAAACTTATATCTGCTGATTCGCCGGCCTGTGTTACCTGCTGCTGACCCGCTCCAGTGCCTAGTGTCGGAGAAAAAAGGCTCACGGAAAGGAACACAATAGCTATATTCCAACAAAGAGGTTGCGAGAGCGCGAGTGCGTGCGAGTGCGAAAAGTACAACGACCTCAGGCTTTTTATTGGAAGGACACTGTCTGAACTTGGTCCAATGCTGACACACGCGGTCTGGCTTTAGTACGAGGCGGCGACGTGCTGCATATTGCGGAGGCGTTGTCTGTCCTTGATCAACGCTGACTCGCGCTGTCTGGCTTTGATGCAAGG